GTCTTCCGGGTGCGCTTCAAGGTGTTGGTTATCACCTTTAAAGCGCTCCATGGCATAGGGCCTCGCTATCTTCGAGACCGCCTGCTGCTACCGACGACCTCCCAGCGACCCGTGCGCTCCCACAGAGAGGGCCTCCTCAGGGTGCCATCAGCCAAACAATGTAGGCTGGTGACCCCCAGGGGGAGAGCCTTCTCTGTGGGGGCACCTACCCTCTGGAATCAGCTGCCCCCAGAGATAAGGAGAATCCAAGACCTCAGTGCCTTCCACCATGCCCTTAAAACCCACTTTTTCCAGCAAGCCGGGCTGGCTTAGGAAGAATTTTTTTAAAATTTTTAAATGTTTAATTGGTTTGTGGTTTTTTAAATTTTGGGCCAAATTTATATAGATTTTAATTGTTTTTAATATTTGTATTTCATTTTTTAATTCTGGCTGTGCACCGCCCTGAGTCCTTAGGGAGAAGGGCGGTATATAAATTGAAAAATAAAATAAAATAAAATAAATAAATAAAAAGAAGAGATAGAAAGGGTAACAGGATTTGAGATAGTTAAGAAGGTTAAATATTTAGGGGTTTATATTATGACCACAAATACGAAATTATATCAGCACAACTATGAACCGTTATGGCAAAAAATACAGAAAGAGATGGAAAATTGGAAAAAACTACAACTGTCTTTGCTGGGAAGGATAGCTGCAGTAAAAATGAATGTTTTACCAAGGTTTTTATTTCTTTTTCAAATGATACCTATACTTAAAAAAGATGAAAATTTGAAGGAATGGCAGAAGGGCATAAATAAATTTGTTTGGGCAGGGAAAAAACCACGAGTAAATCAAAAGATAATGCAAGATACACGAGAAAGAGGAGGTCTTAAAATGCCCAATTTAAGATTATACTACGAAGCCGCTGCCCTCTCAGCAATTACTGATTGGATAAATTTAACGGAGGAAAAGATATTAAATATTGAAGGATATGGTCTGGTCTATGGCTGGCATGCTTATTTATTGTATGATAAGAAAGTAGATAAGACTTTTAAAAGTCATATATTAAGAAATGCTCTATTACGTGTCTGGAAAAAGTATCAATATAAATTAAATGATAAGTTACCAATATGGACAGTACCCAGATAAGCGATAGAGAATATAAATTTGGAGCAAAAGCAAGATAAGACTACATACAAAGAACTCCTTTATAAAGAAGGAGTCAGACTACAATTAAAACCTATGGAGCAATTAAGAGAAGAAGGAATAATTAGAACTTGATTTCAATATGGGCAGTTGCAGGCCAGAAGGAGAGAAGATCAAAAAATTGGTATTTCGTAACAGGATGAGAATTTGATTAAACAAATAAGAGACAAAAGTCAAATGCATATAAAAAGGTTGTATAATGTGTTAGTGGAAATAGATTCAGAAACAGAGCTAGTCAAGGACTGTATGATAAAATAGGCACAAAATGTAGGAGAACCAATAATGATGGAAACATGGGAAAAAATATGGGTTAGAAATGTAAGATTTACACAAGCTCAAAACTTAAGAGAGAACTTTTATAAAATGTTTTATAGATGGCATTTAGATCCAATCTAAAGATTTTCTAATCTTCTGTAGATTCTTTTGGTTCCAGGAAATTGATCATATACACCAAGTACATACATCTCCTTTCACAGAATTTGTAAGAAAACAGACAATTCCAAGAATTTGCTGAGTATCTATTTCTCTCATTTGCATCCTAATAATTAAGGCACAAGAATAATCAAGATGCAAAGCTCCATAATGTAAAGCTTGTCTCTTGGCTATGGTTGTTTAATTAGCCAAGAACTCATAGTTTAGAATTCCTGCCTCTGCTACTTAAGATACAGTTTCTTTTTGGTTTGAGAATATGAGATTTAAAAAAGACTCTATTAAGAATATGCTGTTCATATTGGGATTTGCAGAGGGGAAATCTCGAACCATGACTAAGTGAGAGTCTAAGTACATAATTGCCAACTTAAATTACATCACTGGGTTTTTAGCAAGATAGGTCTAGATAAAGATGTAGATATCACATAATTGTGATATATACCAACCCTTGGAACAATTTTTATTAGATTTGAGCACCCAGGGAGATGAAATTAAAGTCTTCATCAGTGTAGTCATTAAAAGAAAATCACCCAACGTACTACAGATTAGTTCTGTTTCCAGTGGCACTTAATTGAGGGGGAAGGGAATTATTTTGTGCTTTGAAAGATACTTGATCTTTCTGGACTGTCAAACTTCTGGACTGTCAAATTCGAAACCCGCAGGCTGGATGTGTCACATGCTGACCACATCCAGTTTAGCAAAAGGGAAAAAAGTCATGATACATCACATGATGCTGCCATGACGACGCCCCTGATATACACGATTGGAGACAGGAGATTAAAAGATTTAGGATCTGCTATATTGTATTAATTTCTGCAATCAGAATATATTTTGTTACAATACTTGCTCATTCTACAAGGTGTTGTCTGTCTGTCTGTCTGTCTGTCTGTCTGTCTGTCTGTCTCTCTAACCCTAACCCTAACCCTAACCATAACCCTAATCATAACCATTCAGATATCTTTCTATTTCTATCTTTCTAGCTCTCTGTCTATACCCATCCATCCATCCATCTCTATCTCTATCATCTCTATCTCTAGCTAGCTAGAGATAGATCTAGAGTTTCAGATCTTTTTCTGTAATGTTGTCTGTTGATGGATCTTTCAGAATAGAAAACTAAAGAATAGAAAACTAAAGAAAACCCTCTGTAAATTCATTGTCATGCCTGCGGAATTTTTAAAAAAATAATAAGGACTTTCAGTGTCTGGATGGGGAAGAGCAGATTTTGAATGAATCCAAAGACAGTATATTTGATTTTGTGGCCCTAGCAGATCCAACTTTGAAACGGTTGTACTTCCCCTGTTAGAGACAGCTCACAACTTTGAGGTCCTCTTGAACTCAAAACTACTGTTTGATCAGCATGTGGCAGCTGCCAGCTGGAGGGCTTTCATATAGTTATACCTTGAGTTCCTATTTTGGCCATTTCTCAGTTAAGAGGCCTGGCTTTCAATCAATTGTGACTTACTTGCCTTCTGCATGGCAGCAACTGGATAGTGATAGATACATACCGCGTTTCCCCAAAAATACAACATGTCCTGAAAATAAGCCTGATTTTTGGGGTGGGCGTAAATATACACCCTCTCCCGAAAATAAGCCCTATTGAAGGGATGGGCATGGGCAGCACCGGAGGCAGCCTTTCCTTTCCATGGTCACCTTATGGAAGCTCGGCACCTTAATTGTGATCTGTGGATCAGCTGAGCCAGCAAGGGCCGGGAGCTGCCTCTCTGCAGAGGCCTCCCAGTGCAATACTTTGCCACAGCTTTGGAGCAAACCTCCACCTTCACTGTGCAGGATTGTAAGGCTGAAGGTTTCGGAGAGAGCATTTTTGCGTGTGTGTCTGTGCAGAGTTCCCCAAGGATACACCGATTGGCAGGGAAATGGGGGGGGGGGTTCCTGCTGATCGAAGCAAGGCAAAGCCTCCAGTCTTGCAATCTTCCGTAGGGAAGGCGGAGGTTTACTCCAAAGCTGTGGCAGAACATTGCACTGGGAGGCCTCCACAGAGAGACAGAATGAGAGGCAGCTCCCGGTCCATGCTGGCTCAGCTGATGGAGGCTCCCTCGTGGGGTGCAATCAAACTTCCAACCCCAACTGACGCAGTGGGCGTGAGCTACCCCAACCCAGAAAAGGGAAGGAACTGATGGAAGGCCTGTGGGAAGTTCTGAGAGTAGAAATCCACAAGTCTTTAAATGGCCAAGTGACTGCCCATGCTGCTGCTGGCCTCTTCGCCCTCCTGGCAGCGTTGTGCTCAGCAGCGCTGTGGGACTGCTCCTGCCTGGGTGGCTTGAATCATCCCAGATTGAAAACTTCCGAAAATGTTCTGAGCACCACCAGCCTGCCAGGGCCCCTTCGGGAGTAGCTGCCTGTGTCACCTCGTCTGCCACCACCTTTGGGCTGCTGAGTACCAGCCTGCATGCCTATTTCCCCGCCCCCCCCGGGTCTCTTTCCCTTCCACTACTGCTTCTGGGATCACTTCTTTCCCTTCTCCCTGGAATTTATATACCACACCTTCTCCCGAGGGACTCAGGGCGGTGTACAGCCAGATAAAAACATACAATACAAACATTAAAAACAATTAAAAGGATATATATTAATTTGGCCCCAATTTAAGATAACAAACCAATTAAAAAATATTTAAAAATATGTTAAAAAATATGTTAAGCCAGCCCGGCTTGCTGAAAAAAGAAAGTTTTAAGGGCACGGTGGAAGGCACCGAGGTCTTGGATTCTCCTTATCTCTGGGGGCAGCTGATTCCAGAGGGTATGGTTGAGTTTATTTATTTTGCTTATTGTATTATCTTAACTATTAGCTGGCCAAAGTCTCTGTGGATGACAGCATATAAATAAATAAAGATATATGCTTTATACAACTTGTAGTTTTCTCTCAAGTGGTGCTACATTCAGAAATTGCACCCTTAGTGCATAATGACATGTTTCAACTTTCTTTTAGGGGTTGCTTTTCATATTTGTGGAATTCTTCTCTACACATGCTAATAGACAATTTTACCTTCCTTGTTTAACCAATGATGGAAATGGAGTAGGGGAGAGGGAGGGAGGGAGGGAGGGAGGGAGGGAGGGAGAGAGAGAGAGAGAGAGAGAGAGAGAGAGAGAGAGAGAGAGAGAGAGAGAGAGAGAGAGAGAGAGAGAGAGAGATGCAATGTCATATTTTTCAGTTGGGCATATGTAATCCTGCTGCTGCATATAAGCATGGCATTGTGTCTTTTGTCTGTGGGTATCATGCATGTCATGTATTCTAGACCAAGAATAAGCACATGACTTTTCTGTACACATATGTACATGAGGATTTTTTTTTCTATACCCCTCAAGCATAATGCAGATTTTTTTTTTCTCCTTAAACTGAACTACATAGTTTATCTCTCTGTCTCTTCACTTCAGGTGACCGATATGATGCTTCAGGACAAGCCTTACCCTGACTGGGGAAAATCTGCCAGGGCTTTTTGGAAAAGGGGGAACATTAGAATCATTTTATTCTGGTAGGAAAATAACACTTCTCTTTAAAAATGTTGATAATCTACATTTCTTGCAACCGACCATGAAGGAATTGTTTCCTAAAAAAAATATAATTGTACCTTGTCCTTTAAAACAAAATACCAAACTGTACTGTCTGTCCATAATAAAGGATATTAAACATAATAAATTCATTGACTTTGGAATTAGACTAACTCTACGGTTCTCTCAAATATTGCTGAAAGAGAAGTTACAGCAACTAAGAAAGGCAGCTTTAATAACCCAGTTGTTATAATTAAAGCGCCAAGGTGATGTTGGAGAGGATCTTATTTGGTAATTGATTCCACAACTGACTGCACATTGCTTACCTCCAAGCCTACTCCAATGGCACCTTGCAAGGAATAGGTCCATTAAGCATGCTGTCTCTGCCAGCACATTATATGCAGGCAGATTCTACTTGGAATAGATGATCTCACAGACAGTTGTGTCCACAGGAGTTATTGCTAATATCTTGAATTGCATCTGAAAACAAACAACAATGCAGCTTCTGTAATTATATAATAGCATTGAAATACTTCTATTAGTACCCAGGCATTTGGGGTAGGTTGTTCTTTAAGGATAGTCCTATGAAGCGCCAATCATAGTAGTTCTCACTGACTATGAGAACTGGTTATAATTGTTGCACTAACCAGAAGTGGTCAAAGGCTTTCGGGGCCACCTCTTCCATTTGCTGGTCCAGTAGGAGCTAGGAGTGGTTGACCAAAACAGTCTGAATTATGTTTGTACAAAAGAAAAGTCTATTGACTAATTCAACACTAAATGTACCAGGTTGCAGTTTGGGGTCAGCGTAGCCCCAGGATTTTTCCAGTGCCTAATGGAGCGGCTACTGCATGGGATCCCAGGAGTGGTGCCATACTTCGATGACGTTTTTATATCAGGGGAGTCAATAGAACAGTTGATGGAATGCGTGCGCGAAACCTTGGGGAGGTTCCAGAAAAAAGGACTCAAAGTGAACCCTAACAAATGCAAAATTGGCGTAAAGCAGGTAGAGTTCCTGGGCTATCTAATAGATGGGTCGGGCATCCACCCAACTGACAGCAAGATGAAAGCCATTAAGAACGCCCCCACCCAGAAGAATAAGGCAGAACTGCAAGCCTTCTTGGGACTGTTAAACTTTTACAGCACATTTTTACAACAGAAGGCCACCATTGCTGAACCGGTCCACAAACTCCTGGGGAAGACGACCCCGTGGACCTGGGGATGGAGGGAAGACCAAGCTTTTGCAGCAGTGAAAGACCTCCTCTCGTCCGACAGCGTCCTGATCCAATATAACCACACGTTGCCAGTTCGGATCACCTGTGACACCTCCCCTTTCGAAGTTGGGGTTGTCCTCAGCCACCACCTACCAGATGGAACAGAAGCACCCTAGCATACTACTCCAAGACCCTGTCATCGGCCAAGCGCAACTACAGCCAAATTGATAAGGAGGCCTTGGCCATGGTGGCAGGGATCAAGCAGTTCCATGAGTATGTATACAATAGGCATTTCGAGATTATAACCAACCATAAGCCCCTATTAGGACTCCTTGTCAGTAACCAACAAACCCCACCATACATGTCCCCGAGGATGACCAGATGGGCCATTTTCCTCACGGCGTACGATTACAAGCTGATCCACCACCCCGGCAAAGACATCAGCCATGCCAACACTCTCAGCTGCTGCCCGCTGCCAGAATTGGTGGGAAACCCCGCACCCACCGCCCAAGTGCTGTTGATCGACATTGACCCAGCCAGCCCAGTGACCACCAGAGACATCGCTGAACACACCCAAAAAGACAAAACGTTAAGAAAGATTCTGAACTAGGTGTTGAGGAGATGGCCACAGGAGAACCTGGGGGAGGAGTTCAAGACGTCTCGCATGGGGAGTGCTGCAAGGGTCGGTCCTCTCGCCCCTCCTGTTAAACATTTATGTGAAGCCGCTGGGTGAGATCATCCGTGGTTTTGGGGTGAAGTGTCATCTGTACGCTGATGATACTCAGCTGTACATCTCCACCCCGGACCATCCCAACGATGCCCTTGATGTGATGTCTCGCTGCCTGGAGGCCGTGCGGGTCTGGATGGGGAGGAACAGGCTCAGACTCAACCCCTCCAAGACCAAGTGGCTGTGGCTTCCGGCGCCCCGATATAGTCAACAGGTGCCATCGTTGACTATTGGGGGTGAATCTTTGCCCCCCACGGAGAGGGCTCACAATCTGGGTGTCCTCCTGGATGCACGGCTGTCTTTAGAAGAGCATATGACGGCCGTGGCCAGGGGGGCCTTTTATCAGGTTCGCCTGATCCGCCAGTTGCAGCCCTTTCTGGACCGGGACGCCCTGCGCACGGTCACTCACGCCCTTGTTACCTCCCGGTTGGACTATTGTAATGCTCTCTACATGAGGCTCCCCTTGAAGAGCACTCGGAGGCTCCAGCTGGTCCAGAATGCGGCCACATGGGTGGTTATGGGCGCAACTCGTTGTGCCCATGTGACACCCCTCCTGTGCGAGCTGCACTGGCTCCCGGTGGTCTTCCGGGTGCGATTCAAGGTCTTGGTTACCACCTTTAAAGCGCTCCATGGCATAGGACCCAGGTACCTTCGAGACCATCTTCTGCCACCAATAGCCTCCCACCGACCAGTCCGCTCCCACAGAGAGGGTCTCCTCAGGGTGCCATCAGCCAAGTTATGTCGGCTGGCGACACCCAGGGGGAGGGCCTTCTCTGTGGGAGTCCCAGCCCTGTGGAATGAACTGCCCCCGGAAATATGTAAGATCTCTGACCTCCGCGTGTTTCGCTGCGCACTGAAGACCCTGTTGTTCCGCCAGGCTGGGCTATCAACATAATAGTTTTAAATTGGGGTATTTTAAATTTCTGGGGTTTTAATTGAGCCAAATTATTTAATCATTTTAAATTTTAATTGCTGTTTTGTCTTGTGTTTTTAAATAGGCTGTACACCGCTCTGAGTCCTTTGGGAGAAGGGCGGTATAGAAATAAAATTATTATTATTATTATTATTATTATTATTATTATTATTATTATTATTATTATTATTATTATTATGAGTTACCACAGCAAGCAAACCGAACCGTCAATCATTAAGGGCTGTTTGCTGTGGGGAGAAAAGGTCATTGTTCCCCAAAAGCTTCAGAGGCGCACCATGGACGCCCTGCACATGGGACACCCTGGGACCGTGAGGATGAAGGCGTTAGCCCGGAGCTACATCTAGTGGCCCCAGATGCACAAGGACATTACCAAGTGGGTGGCTACCTGCAAATCCTGCCAGGGGACACGACCAGCACCACCATGGGCACCCACTTATGAATGGGAAGTGCCCAAGGGGCCCTGGTCCCACATACATATTGACTTTGCAGGGCCAGTAGAAGGACAGATGTTCCTGATTGTCGTGGATGCATACTCCAAGTGGCTAGAAGTGATCATCATGCAGACAACTACGACAGAAGCCACCATCCGAGCCCTCCGATGGCTGTTCACCACCCATGGTCTACCCAACATCCTGGTTTCTGATAACGGCCCACAACTGACAGCCAAGACCATGGAAGCATTCCTCACAGAGCAAGGGATCCGGCACGTACTCATCTCTCTGTTCCACCCAGCAAGCAACGGGCAGGTCGAGAGAATGGTGAGACTAACCAAGGAAACCCTCACCCGAATGAGCCCAGGGAATTGGCAGGAAAAAGTTGACCAGTTCCTCCTCGCTCAACGCATCACCCCCCATGTGACCACCAACAAAAGCCCAGTGGAGTTGCTGATGGGAAGGAGGCTGAGGTCGCAACTTGACCGATACCACTTGGACTACCTTCCTGAGACCCCCCCCCCCAGACTCTGCACGGCCCACACGGGCATTCAACGTACAGGACCGGGTATTTGCACACAACTTTGCGGGGTACCCGACCTGGCTGGTGGGCCGAGTTGTGGCTGTCACTGGCCCCAAGTCATACTGCATTGAGCTGGAGGATGAGCGGATCTGGAGGAGGCATATCAACCAACTCAGACACCGCCTGGTGGACACCGAGCTGAGGAACCAAGGCGACTGGACCGCGACCGGAGGGCCAGAGCAACAATCGCAGAACCTGAGGTCTCCGCCCCGAGGAGCACGCTCAACCGCCGGCTGGGAAGCAGACGAGCAGGAACCAGGCCTACCCAGTAGCCCAACAGGGGGACTACTCGCCAACCAGATCCGCGACCATTCCTCTGGGATCGAGGGCATCCAGCAGGAAGCGACAGTTTCGGAAGCTGAAGGAATCAGGCTGGAAATCGACTTGCAGGCCGAGGAGCTCCAGAAGGTTCCTTCCCAGGCAGCCGGAGGAACACCAGACTCGACCGCTGCAGCCACGATCCCGGGAACAAGTGAACTACACAGGTCTAGTAGGAAGCCAGTGCACCCCGCCTACCTAGAGGACTATGTCACATACGTAAGCAGGGGATTGGACACTGTTCATTCTAGGAGGGGAGGGGTGTTATGTACGGATTGGCTAGAATCTACATAAGTTTTCATGCTCGCCACAGATTGGCTAGAATCTGCATAAGGTTTCATGCTCACCGCTGATTGGCTGTCTGGACCATGGGAGATTTAACTGGCTGTCATTGGCCGGTTGGTCTGCCTGGAGCTCCTTAAAAAGGCGAGCACTGGCAGCCCAGCACAGTCACATTTTGCTGGAAATAAAAAGGTGCTGAATTCACTAACGACTCTTGCCTGTTACCTTACACCGATCTAACAAAGCCCATGATTAATCATGATTAGTCTTCTCTGCTTCAGAACAACAAATATCTTTGAAAGATAGGTAGAATTCAGCTGGAATTGTTGCATAATACTAATTTTTATTTTAACTGTGTTTAAAATCTGATATGATGTTCTTCTTACAAGCTCAGAAATGTTTCTGCAGTGGAGAATTTTGTTACAGCTTCTAAAAAGAGGAAATCAGCATCATTTTATAGGCTGCCAGAGCTACAATGCAAAATCTTTTAAGTTGCTA